TGGTTGGAAAAGGCACAGAAAATAGGGGGAGGGGAGAGGTTCGCTTTGATTTTTATATGATTGTGAGTATGATGGTTGCACAAAACTACAGGATTTTTTTTCCTGTGTTAAGCAAATTTTTGTGCATTTTTGTTGCTCGTTGCTGATAAGAAAACCTGAATCATTCCATGTCCGAATCGAAATGCGGCAGAATTGAACTCGTTGGTTATTGTGGGATCAATGTTCGGATCATAGCCATGATATTCGCCAACTGTTGTCACAAATGCACTTCCCAGAATTTTCGGCAAATATTCCCTAGAAATTATAAGCATCGAACCGTACTGGCCGAAACTTTTTGGAGCTGGCAACGTACACGATGCGAAAACCATGATTCCAGCATTCCAAAAAACAACAGTTCCTCAAAATTTCACGTGCCATCAAAAACGGAAGTGCTCAAAAGTAAACTGTGGGAAGCACGTCGCCGAAAGCAATCTCCCTCGTCTCGCCTTCGACGCAACAAAACTCGACCAAGGATTACAACTGTAACACAACCCGCTCAGCTACGACTGCCTCCCACGACGTGGAAAAATATGCCAACAAGTACATTTCCAACACGAGTGCACATATCAGACTGTGAATTACCGAATGCCTCCATTGCTAATATGACCTCACTGTTACAGGAAATCGCGCCAGGACACATGACCACACCAGCAAATTTGGTATCGCGCTAAGACTCGTAATCATACCAGCAAATTTAGTGCGTAAAAGCAACTTATTGAACACGCATAGAAGGTATACCTAAATGTGATTGCTTGAATCTCAGCGCCGACAATTTTTCTTGCCTCCATGAACAGCCGATCGCCGTTCCAGTGCGAATTCATTTTCTGTAATCGAGTCACCAATCTGCAAAAATTACAAAATTATAGAAAAAAAGAAAACCGTGGCACATTCACAAAAAGCTAGTATTTAACGACCGGTTGTCCACGAAATCACTGTGCTTTCAGCAATCCGGAACACCACTGCTTAGCTAAAATTGTGAGTATCAGGGCTTAGTAGTCTTGCATATTACAAATTTTCTGATTAAAAAACGTGCTAAGTACGAAAATGCTTCTTCAAACTGCTAACCGGAAAACTAGCATATCAATGCATTAAAAA